TAGTTAGTAGTACGTTACTACGACATAGAACAACTACTCTAGTGGTACGTTAGTTAGTACTACTACGTACTAGTATAGTAGTACTACTATAATAAATAACTAATATATATATATATATATATATATATATATATATATATATATAGGAGTAACTAGTATATGCTCAAAGGCTGATGCAATAGTAGACCCCCAATGACCTAGATTGAATCTAGATCTCAAAGAATTATACCATGAGGATCCATCTTTTGTGTCTGTTGATACGCATAATTTGAAAGATGGTCATGTGAAATATGAATAATATTTGTTGCAAAATGGATTTTATTCAAGGGGACACATCTGTGTATTCTCAGCTGTTTAAGAGAGACTATCATTCATGAGTTGCATGCAAGAGACCATGGAGGTTAATTTGGGTGTGATAAGACCATGCCTTGGTGGGAAAACTAGTTTTCGTTCTAGACAATAGTGAGACATCATTAAGTATGTAGGTTGGTGTAGAATTTGCCAAATTTATAAGGGCAGACCCATAAAACCAAGCTACTCTCCACTTCATTTCTCATCGGCACCACATGTTGATGTTTCAATTGACTTTTCATTGGTGCTTCCAAAAACACTAGTACGCATTCCATTATTAATTTTTTTTTTTTGAGAAATGCATTCCATTATGATTGTTATCGATATATTTTCGACAAATAGCACACTTTTTTGCATGTAAGAAGACCGCAGATGCTGCCCATGTTGCAAATTTTACTTCAAGGAGGTTGCAAGCTACATGGTGTCCAAAAGAAAATAACTTCAGATCAGGACAGCAAGTTCCTTAGTAAATTGTGGTGGACATTGTGGGACAAAATGGGGATAAAATTATAAAAGAGCAGTTGTTATCATCCCAAAACTGGTGGGCAAACTTAACTAGTAAATTGAAGGTTTGGACCTCCTAGTCATCTTGGGGAGAAACCTAGCCAATGGGATATAATTTTGCCACAAGCTGAATGTTTTATAGGAATTCCATAAATCACTATTATGGTAAAGTCACCATTCAAGATCATTCACGGCAAGGTACCCCTCACTCATTAGATTTGGTTTCCTTACCAAATTTGAAGAAAATTAGTAATGATCCCAAGGTATTGACTAGAGATATAAAAGAGATTAATGATCAAGTTTGAGATAAACTTCAAGAAATCATCAAGAGGTGCAAAAGTGCAGACGATAAGCATCAACAATTCCAAAACATCAACAAAGAAGATCTAGTGATAGTTGATTTTTGTACAAAGAGGTTTACTACTGGTGCCTATAATGCCTACCATACTGAGCTACCAAAGGACATTGATATATCTCCAGTCCTCAATGTTTCCGACTTGGATACAAGAGGCACATGATGATTCCTAAAAGAATGGGCACGATCAATTGACAAAAAAGACAATAGAGAAACTAAACCAGATTCTTAATAATAGGACTATCTCTATAAAGGGTGGTACTTATTGAGAATATCTAATTCAGTGGGAAGGGAAACCTCTTACTGGATGTTGTGTTTTTTCAAAGCTGAGTTAAGAAAGATTGAGGAGAATTTGTTGTGGCAGTATGTTAATCACACTCACCAAAGTCGAGTTCCTTACAAATGATGTCTTTTATATTACAAGACTGAAGTCTTTTTTTTTCCTTTTTTCTTTTTTTTTCTTTTATTGTCTTTGTGCTGGAACTTTTAGGAATAAAACTGTCAGAAGATTATTAGGGGTAGTTTAGGACAAAAATGTTGATCCTTTTTGGGGTTTTGGTTCAGTTATGGATATTTCCTGTGTATTCTCTATTTTAAGAAGATGCTTTGAGGGGTTTTAGGTGACTTTTTGTTTTGCAATGTATCGAGACTTGGTGATGGTTCTTTAGAAGCATCTAGACTCAGACATATATTGCCTGAAAATACAGTGACGAATTTTGGATCTAATTAACAAGGTAGACTATCAGTTTAGTTCTTCGTGTTCTTTTTCTCCTCCCTTCCTAATTTGCATCATAAAGAAAGAGCCAATGGTCGGTTTCTTACAAGTGATATATCCTTAAGCATTATAAAACACATAATTTTCTAATGCACCTAACAAGCAAGAACAAGTAATGATCAACCATGCAAACCAAATGGAGAACTATTGATCGCATGATCATAATTCAGATGGTCATATATTAGAATATAATAGGGTGTTAGAAAAGGCTACAGTATAAGGACTATAAACCAAGTGCCATATGGGAAGTTCGAATACTACACAGGTCCTACAAATTTAAAACGGTTAGTAGGACTAAGTTCTAAATTATATCATTTTAAAATAAAGATTTATGGATCCTGTGAATGGAGACCACAGGAAATATCTTTCACCAAGATAATATTTCTATCATCAAGAAAGGATCCAAAGAAAATCTGTAAATAATATGTGATACCTGAAATCCAGTACTAGTGTGGTATACACTGTAATAAAGGCCAGCAACTTGAGCATCATAGGCTGTAAATTGACACAACAAAATCATCTCAATGATTCCAAGCTAGCAGAAATTACATCAAAAGAATGAAAATATGCATGATAACTAAAATGGATATATAATTTCAAAAATTTCATCACAATAGTACCTTAATTATATCAGAACAAGGAAAAACCATAAAATAGATAAATATTTAAAAAGTGAATGGACATAGAAGTTGGTTGATGACTAGCATCTGGCCACTTGTAGCTGATAAAAACACTGAAGTGATGTTTCAATGTTGAACTGGGAACATGGGACCAACTAAGGCAAGAATAAGAGCTTGACACTTTCAGGTAGATATACAGAACATCCTTTTGTGAGAAGTTCACATATTTCTAAGACTTTAAGCACACATTCAAAGATGAACTGTTATAGGCTTCCTATATGATCGAGGTACTATGGAAGAAAATGTTTAGTATGACTAACAAGAAAGCATGATAATACATGCTCAATAGCTTTCTTTGGCAGGTTGAAGTCAAACTCCCCTTACTTTGAATCTTCTGTTCATATAGAACATCATAAATTTGATTTCACTTTTCACATTTCCTTTTTCTGATCATCATCATCATCATCTCAGCCTTATCCTAATTGTTTGGGGTCGGCTACATGAATGTCGTTCCTTCATTCTTCTCTATCACGGTCCATACCCTCAGTAAGACCAAAAATCATCATATCTTTTCTCACTACTTCTATCCATATCCTTTTGGGCCTTCCCTGTGTCCTTTTGGAGTCTTCCACTTGAACCAAATTGCACCTTCGAACTGGTGCTAGTAGTATGTGGTCAGCTTGCTAGCTGACAGCTACAGTAAATGCCCAATGGCCCGGATTGAATCTAAGCCGATCCAATGGTGACAATTGAATTTTATATATAAATTTATTTTATTTTTTATAAATCAAAATCACTTGAAATTTGGAGCATCTAATCTT